ATTTTTTGGTTGCAGCCATCATTGTTGTTTGGTAGGCCTGGGCTGGGGATTTGAACCCGCCAACTTAGGTGTATGTGGCTGGTGCCTTAGCCGTTTGAGCCACAGGCGCCAAGCCTAATTGTACTCTTGAAGTCAAACCTCACCATTCCGAAACAGTGGCTTCTAGAAATCATACCTTCATCATGAGCACCCTCCCCGATGGGGATCCCAACATACACCATCACATTAACAGCATCAGACACGTCTAAGTGAAGATTTGTTGTGCCAACTCTTCTATCTTCTGCTGTTATCAAGCCTAAAGATAAAAGGAAAATATATGAAGTGAAGGGACAACATTCTGAAGAATTCACATAGATCCTATAACTGAAAACATGATTAAGGACTTTTCTTTTTTATGACAGTCTTATTTGGTTGCCCTGGGTAGACTGCTATGGCATCATGGCTCACAGTACCTCCAACTCTTGGACTCAAACGATTCTCTTGCCTCAGCCTCCTGAGTAGCTGGGACTACAGGCACCTACCACAACATCTGGCTGTTTTTAGAGATAGGGTCTCACTCTTGCTCGGGCTGATGGCCAATTCCTGGGCTCAGGCAATCCTTCTGCCTCAGCCTCCCAGAGTGCTATGATTACAAGTGTGAACGAACCAGCATGCCCACACTTTCCACACTTTTGCTTTTCATGGAAGGAGCTTTTTTTTTTTTTTTTTTTTTTTTGGAGACAGAGCCTCAAGCTATCCCCCTGGGTAGAGTGCTGTGGCATCACAGCTCACAGCAACCTTCAACTCCTGAGCTCAAGCAAGTCTCCTGCCTCAGCCTCTCAAGTAGCTGGGACCACAGGTACCTGCCACAACGCCTGGCTATTTTTGGTTGCAGCCATCATTGTTGTTTTTGGCAGGCCCAGACTGGATTTGAACCCGCCACCTTAGGTCTATGTGACTGGTGCCCTAGCCACTTGAGCCTCAGGCGCCGAGCCAGAAGGAGCATTATTTGAGAGCGGATCGCTTCTATGATCAGAGCTAATGGATTGTGTCAACCAAGCAACTATGTTACCCTCAGTGGCATCACCTGGCTTTTTTTTTTTTTTTTGCTGTTGTTGTAGTCATTTATCAGGTGTAGTAGTCTGATAAATGTCATAGTCATTTATTTTTCCTACTAAAAAATAGGAAAAATTAGCTGGCCGTGGTGGGGCACATTTGTAGTAGCCAGCTGCCTGGGAGGTGAGGCAGGAGGATTGCTTAAAGGGAGGTTGAGGTTTTTGCGAGCGAGGCTGAACCCACGGCACTCTAGCCCAGTTGACAGAGCAAGACTCTGTCTTAAGAAAAAAAAAAAAAAAGCAAACACAATACAGATATGGGCATTTGGCACATTCAAATAAAGCTAAGTTTTCAGAGTGATTTAGGTCATTACTGGCCTAAGTGCTGGCTGGTAGCACACTTCTCAGCTTTCTTTCTTTGTTATTTTCCCAAGTCTCTTAGAACTGAAAATGTCGGCTCAGCGCCTGTGGCTCAAGCGGCTAAGGCGCCAGCCATATACACCTAAGGTGGCAGGTTCGAATCCCCAGCCCAGGCC